TTTCTGACTGCAATCCAAACGTCACACACTGAATCTGAAGATTTTTGGCTAATCTCTGGCTATAACCAGAGCCCTAAATTTAAACCTTTTTCACATTAACTCTGGGCCTGTTTAGTTTCGAGCATAAACTTTACAGTTAGCTACTGTTTCCATAAAGAGCCTGACCTGGAAATCCACATTCTCTCATGAAACTAGAGAAGTAAGCCATATGAGAACACAGAAATGATACAGCTTAGGTGTACATCTAGATTTCTTTTAAATTTGATCCCTGTGCTTCTAAAGCTACATGCAGATACTGATTTAGGGAGGAAAAGCTGGAAAAAATTAGAATGAAAAAGTATTAATACTTCTCCAGGATGAAACACTGGCTCCACTGAAGTAAAGGATAAAATCTCATTGACCTTACTGACAAAGAACTGCAACGGTATTTTAAACAGATCGGATCAAAATTTTTCTGCCTGTATGTTATCCTACAGGAAAAGACTGATTTTGCAGAATCCCAGTGGTTCCCAGCCACCTATCCTGGAGCTGAAAAGTTCAGACAAGATTTTCCTATTTTCCCATTATTCCTGCTCTCTGTTTTTCACTACTGTAAGCATAGTATTTCATAACATTTTTCCCAGGTAAATTGTTCAATAACTACAGGATAGCCTTCACTATTGATTTTAACCAGCTGAATTAAAAAGTTTGCACGAATTTGGGAGTGAACTTTTCTGCTCATTAGTTTACATTAAAGGTGGGATTTCCAAAATCATTTAAAAAACTTGCATCTGTAACTCCTATACAATTTTTAATGGGAATCAGGCATGGAAATACTGCCAACAGTCTTGGAACAAAAAAACCTATAAATGGAAAGAAATGATAGCATGTAAAATGCAGGAAACTCAGTACCTGTATGAGAGAGGCAGCAGCTGGAATTTGACGGTTGAAATGCTTCTGTCTTTGTTTCTGTTGTACCTTTAGGGCAAAGCCTGAACCAAGAATCCCCTGTGGGAAGAAAGAAAACACAGATCTAATTTTTTTTAAGGGGGAAAAGAACCCTACCACATAAGCTTGCCAAATTATGTTGTATTAATCAACTTCTATTCAGCATCATAAAACCTGAATAATTATTTAGAGGAAATGACTTAATACTGTTAAGTTTTTAGACTCAGTTAGTATTACTTGTTGAAACAAACTATGAATGCTATCATGCCCTGATCCGAAGCCTATTTAAGTCAGCTAGACACAAATGCTAAAGAGCAAGCAGAAATGGTATTTCATACCCTCTAAAAGCCTCATAAACGCTTGTGCAAGGCAATGAAAGAATAGGGAAAAATATTAACCGGACGTTCTCAACTTCATTTTTATGAGAAATAAAGTTTTGGCATGGTATGATTCAGGTCACAATAAAGACCTTTTAAACTGTAGTACGGCAATTTCTATTTCCATATGTTAACCCATGCTGGGAGGGGAGAACAAAGAGAAGGAAAAGGAATATTACAAAACGGTCAAGACTTCAGTGAGTTCAAGACAAGGCCATTCAATCCACTCTCAGGACAAGGGACAGACTAATGGCATACAACCCGTAACAGCCTCAGAACGTACTATTTAGTCGAAAATTAAGTACAGAGCAAGTCATTTATGTAGTCATTTGCATAGCTATAGACATAGTTAACAGAAATTTTAGTAACACAGATAAAAATGAGATCTTCTATAAATCATCTTACATGACTACACCCACTCCACAAAAGCATAATTCATTTTCTACATATGGTAGCCAAGGTGTCAGAGCAGCCAATGATTTTGGCTCAACCTCTAAGAACTGTATTAATCATCAAGTGTTTTGAAAGGAACAGGAAAGGCCCTTCCTATTATGTTCGTTTAGTAAAGATCAAAGAGTTAATGATGCTCAAACACCACTTATTTGGGAAATGAAGGATCATTGCTAGATCCAGAACCCGTACCAGTTGTGTTTAACCACAACAATTACTTTTGACTGTGATCTCAGCCAGCTCCCTTATTTAAAACGGCAACGAGGCAGCAAGCCCTATCAACTGTTCACTGCTAGAGCTTCAAACCCTAAATTTCCCCCTTGGGCCAACTCAAAAGAACAACTTAATTCAGTAATAAAATCACGCTGATAAAGGGATATTGTTGTTTTACTTCTACAAATGGCTATGGAAATCTGACAGATAAACATGAAAGTCAAAATAGTAGTTTTTGGCATTTTTCTTACAGATAATTTCATTTACCAGATCTCTCTTCTAAACAATGAATAAATGGGAAAAATTAGAATGAGGGGGGGGAAGTATACACTTTAAAGGCAAACTGATGCTGGAGAGTCTAAAAATCTACACTTAATTACCCTTCTCTGCAAAAGGTCGTGTACCTTTAACGTAAGCGACTAATTTTAAAAGCACTGGAGTTTTAATAGTTACTATTTCCTGTTGTCAAGAATTTTTGTGACGGTACTGGCATAAAATTATTCTTCTCACCCATCCTGTACTTATTCCCACCACTTCCCTGCCACAACTACACTAACATCTGCTAGCACAACTGCTTGTGTCACTGAACTGAAAAGCTTGCTGAAAAATAGACATTTTAACAGCACAATTTAGGAGTATTGCTAAATTTGTGAAAAAAAAAAACCAACCCTTAACTACTCTGGGCACTAAATATTTTGGGTTTTCAAACCACAGTCCAGGTTTTCCTGATTTTGAATTTACCCCTCTTTCTTGTTAGAAAGAACAAGGGGTTCTTTCTCCCAACAAACTTGGGAGCCTGTTTTCAGTGCAAAGTGTCATAACATCTTTAAAAGCTCAGCGCTATGTCACTTTTGAAAATGGGACTTTGGCCATGGACAGATGCTAATTTGGCAAAGAGCTGCATCAGCATCCCTGGCTGCTTATTGTTGTCTCTCTGCCAGTGACACCTTTTCGTCAGCTTTGCTAGAAGAAGGATATGTGTGAGAACTCTACACTTCACCTTGGAGCTAATCAGTTGAGTAAACTATGAGTGAATGCCTTAAAAAGCCAAAACATCACTAAGTCACTGAGTCCAGAATTAATTAGCATGAGGAATAATTTCCTTTACACTTCTGAGATGGGGAGAACAAGTACTTCGAATTAAACGCCTTTCTCAAATACATAGCAAATCCAATGTTGCATACAATAAAAACCTGCATATTTACCTTTTTTAGCTACTTATAGAAGCTCTTTTGCTTCCACAATCTACCTATATTTTAACTACAACATAAAAGTTTGATACAAAGCTTTCATAACACCAGGTTAAATGAAAAGGTAAAGAATCGATAACAAGTTTCCCCTGATGACTGATGAGTCAACAGTAAATTGCCAGCAAAAGCACACAATAACCTACCGCAGGCAGTGCAAAAAACGAAATGGCGAATACTGAGAAACAAGATGCAATGGTCTTTCCTATCCAGGTCTGAGGCACTTTATCCCCATAGCCAATCGTTGTAACAGTCACCTGTAAAAAGAAACACATAGAGTATTACAGCAAGTGGCAGTTTTGGGCTGTTGTTGTTTCTTCATTTTTGTTTATTTTAAAAAAACATTTGTTGCATTCCTAACTCTCCCAATGACAGTTTGTGTGACATTAATGAAGGTAGCTCTCCTCTCCAGGTTTGCTTCCCCCTCTATAATAAATGGAAAAAGTTACAGGAAATTGAATTACAATAAAATACATGTTTAAAATCTTGTAAAGTAAAACCATTAATTTAAGTCTTTATGGCTGAGACAACTTTACAGCATATGAAGTTACTGGGATATGGGTTGCCTGCCCATGTCATGCACTTTCCTTAGAGGGAGGCTGCCAACAGTACTGAATTGCTGATTTTCTTTATGGGCAGGGCTGTTGCACAGAAAGAGCAGATATATACACACACTGTAACCATGGACTATGACTGGGGTCTGACATGAAGTATTCTAGGGAATGATATTGGCATAAATATCAAGAGAAGCTGAAAAATTTCCATGCAGTAAAGATCCTGAAATCATAGTCTAACGAATCACTAATTCATGTAGTACATCAAGAGCAAGAACAGATAGTTTAATGCACATATGCAGGAAACATCTGTTGAGCTTGGGTTTCAAAACACTGCAGTAAAGATTGCCACCACAGCGATGTAGCATAACAAGGCTTAATAAGTCATTATTTGCATGAGCTCAAGGAAAGAATGGATTTCTTTGAAGCAGAAGGATACATTTGACATCTGAGAGCAATTTAAATTCACCTATGTCACAAGCTATTTCTGAATTTGGAAATTAGAGATATTTTCATCTGTGACTTTGAAGAAGGCTAACCAAATCAGAGCATGTGAAACCACAAGAAGCTCTCAAGCAGTTGAAGCACACCTCAATCCTGGCTCTTCAGATTTTCTTCCGACAGTATGTGCTTCAGCTGCTCAGGACACAGAGGATGTTAGTCCCAGACAACAATACACACAGGCCATCCTCACCTTGTGCTGCAGTTGCTCCTAGTTCACCTGTGTGCTGTGATGCATACTACCCAGCGCCTGCAGAAATGCAGGCAGTGCCCAGGGCAGCATCTCTAGGGGAGGACAGAAGGGAAGGGTAGATTTGTAGAGGCAAGATGTTTGTTAAGGGGGTGAAAGGACAGAGAACCTGGGCTTGGGGAAATAAAAGATCATGACAAGTGCTCAGGAAAAGCACAGCTGTCGACCACATTAATAATTGTCCATTCCTACTAAAAGATGAGACACCAGTGGGAAATCCTGTGGATGTAAGTTCCAACCCGAGCTGTACCTCAGACACACACAAAGCAAGCCATCCATACTCAAACTGTCCATCTTCTAAGCAACAGCATTATGAGTCTGTCAAACACACGACAAAGGGATATCTCTAGCTGCTTCAGGTGGTGATGTTAAAAGTTTATTACAACTTGCTGATACTCAAAATATTCAAATATTAGCATTTTGTTTTTAATACTAGTTGTTAAAATGTGGCTTATTTCCAAAACTGTTTCATATCCTACAAAATTATTTTAAGAATTGGTAAGGTGAGTTAAGTACTCAAACACCTTTGCCTGTATTCCTGAAATTGTTGTTGAAATACTACCTTAATTCAGGGCCTGATGAGGAACTGAAGGGATGACATTACCTCCTTACCTACATAAGAGGGTCAGTTAAAAAAAAAATAAAATCCTAAATTCTAATTACAATTTCCTGTTCAAAAAAGATGATATAAAAAGGGAAATAGAATCATGGGAAAAGCAATGTCCTCCAATACCTTCTTACATAAAAGATTATGAGATAAGATAGCGGTTTATGCCTCAGATTTTTAAAAGACTTACAAATCCTTATCACTGAAAAGTTTTATCAACTATTCTGTGTTACAATTTTAATATCATGTTGAAATATAGACATTCACTAGAAATGTGAAAAAAGTGCTTTTGAGCTGACTGAAGTATAACCAAAGAAAAATTTATATAATACTGAGAAGTATTTCTCTTCCCTTTCCCACAACCACCCCACCCATCCCTTCAGAACTGGTCTATATGAAGTATCAGTGACACAGTAAAAGCATTTTTTGTGTTGTTTAGTTTTTTTAAAAAAAAACATTTTGGAAATTGGGTTTCTCTGCCTTCATAACTCTAACCTGTCTACAAATGCACTGTATTCCAAAATTACATCTTCTTTTTTCCCCAAGATATATGCTGTTGAAACCTTACTTGCCAAGTTTGTACCCTAAATGAATTTTTCCAGGCAGATTATAACCCCCTAAAGACTACAGTACTAATTTTACAGTTGTAAAATAGGATCTTATAATGGAAATACTGACTCAACTTCTACTATAGCATAGTAAATATGTTGGCATAATGAAATTAAGTTGATACAAGAGCTCACACATTAAATTTTCATTGAAAAGCAGCATGTAAAACTAATTGTTTTAATTAGGAACAAAGACATATTCATTCACTGACTGTTTCAGAACTTTGATCTGATGTACATCACCACAGGCTTTGGTATTAAAACTAATCTTGTCCCTAATAAATACGCATCAATAGTCTGCAGGTGGAAACACGAAGCAAAAATCCAGACAGCAAGAAGAAGCAGTAATGCTCATCAGCACTGAACAGGGAAGGGATTTTATTCAAGGCAATCGGGCTAAAGTGAGCACAGCAAACTAATCAGGTGAGTAACAATGCTCTGTTGATGAAATCCTTACTGTGTGCCTTGCAAAAATTTGGATAGTTAATCAGCTACAAAATACAAGAATGCATGATTCAGAGGTACTAAAAAGGCAGACACCATAGTACTGAAAACGCAAGCTAAAAGACTGAAAAAGCCAAGCATTAAAGCAAATAAGGGAAAGTCACCTTACAGAAAATACCTTAACTACTTTATTTCTAAGTTTACAGCACTGCAACTTCAAAATCAATTGCACTAGGTATTGTTTTGCATACCAAACACCACTCAGAATTTCCTGACCCACTCGCAATACCCTACTTGATTAAAACAAGTAATACATGAACATCCTCCAACTCCCTGACTTATTATCAGTTGAAGCATAGTAAATTCCAAAATAGTTTGAATGCTTTCCTGTACACCTAAGTGTAATGAAGAACACATTAGAAGCCTTTCTACTGCTTGGCATCTTATTCAGTCAACTGCATTCACGCAAGCTGAATACAAAGTAGAATCTTTCCAAGCTGCTGAAATCCCTTAAGCATGAGTGCAAACAGATTAGAGAGTCATGCTTTTATTTTACTGTGAAATACGTAATCTGTAAAAAGCTGAAAAAACCCTATTGATCTGTCAATATTTAGAAATCTTTACCAAATGACAATATATTTTTTCCTTGTGCATATAAGGGTGTTAGTGATAACAACTGATTTACACAACAGAAATTCTACTTTCTGCTCCAAATCACGTCTATGTACATTGCAGCACTCAGAAGATTCAAGTTACATCCTTCAGATGGACAGGTTAAGAGACTATGTTCTACAGGACACAAAAGTTTTGAAACATTCAAATTAAAATTGTAACCCAAAGCTGAAGAAAGGACTTCCTGGTCACTTCCACTACAAACATTTAAAGGGGATGTTTCGTTCTTTTTCATCCTAAAATTTCAAAGTCATTTTCATACAGTTATTATTGTAGGCTCACACCGTAATTCTTGATGCAGTTGAAGTACATAACGGAAACATCTGAAGGACAAGGAAACATTTCAAGTAACTTTGAATATGAAATTAAATGGAACTTGACATCCCATTCCAAATACAATAAACAGAATATTTTAACTTCAGTGTCATGTCTCAAACAATAGATCCTCAGTGCTGCCTAGTCATCCCTCTTGGATCTTAGTTTAATACCTCCTCAAGATTGCCAAAAGGTTGCCCCTTTACTCTGCTCTTCTGAGTCCCCACCTGGAGTACTGTGTCCAGCTCTGGAGCCCTCAACATAGGAAGGACATGGATGTGATGGAGTGGGTCCAGAGGAGGGCCACGAAGATGATCCGAGGGCTGGAGCACCTCTCCTGTGAGGACAGGCTGAGAGAGTCGGGGCTGTTCAGCCTGGAGAAGAGAAGGCTCTGGGGTGACTTTATAGCAGCCTTCCAGTACCTGAATGGGGCCTACAGGAAGGATGGAGAGGGACTTTTCACAAGGGTGTGTCGTGATAGGACAAGGAGGAACGGCTCTAAACTAAAAGAAGGCAGATTTAGATTAGATATTAGGAAGAAATTCTTCACCATGAGGGTGATGAAACACTGGAACGGGTTGCCCAGAGAAGCTGTGGTTGCCCCCTCCCTGGCAGTGTTCAAGGCCAGGGTGGATGGAGCTCTGAGCAACCTGGTCTAGTGGAAGATGTCCCTGCTCATGGCAGGGGGGTTGGAACCAGATGATCTTTAAGGTCCTTTCCAACCCTTACCATTCTATGATTCTAAGGTCTCATTTTCAGACATTAATCAGTTCTGACCAAAATACTGGCCACTCTAAACCTCCTACTCAAATGGTGACCCAAACTAAACATCTCTACTTGTGAGATTTCAGAGATAAAAAGAGTCTTAAAAAAAACAACTGATGAAAATTAAGTTGGGTGTTGAGCTCATTTAAAAATACGAAGCCTGTTCTGTGCAATGAAAACAGGGACTACAGCAGCAGAACAAAGTCAGTAAGAATGCAAGGGCTGAAGAGATTTTCTGACTGCTATTCCTAGTTTCTGGCTGCTTCAAAGTCAGCCACATTATGTCATGTCATTCACGACCTCTTGAAAATACAACTCCATCTGAAAATGAATTGGCTTTCCCATCACTGTTCCTGTTGGGACATTGTTGCAGAACCTCACGCTTTTGATGGTACCAGATATTCTTGTAGGCTCCTGTCTTCATTTCTGAAAGATGGGTTTCCAGTCTTGTTTTTCTGTTGCACCATTTCATTATCTCGGTTTATCCCCCTCCCCTCTTCTGTTGCCTCACCCCTGCAGTACATGCGCTTGCAACACAGCA